TGGGGAATTGTAAGTGTTTCATTAACTTACCCCATGTTCTTTATTATTAGAACATGTCCCTCCGAGTTTGTCACTTGCACAGTGTTAAAGTAATAAAACAGCACTTTTCAAATGTTCCACCAGTTCTCAGAAGACTCCACTCCCTGGGCCAATTTTGCAATAAGAAGGCTTTTTTGTTCCCCATATCATATTTCTACGGCCCTTTGCTTCCAGAAAGGGTCACAGCATTCTCTACACACATTACATATAGTATCTATCATTGCCACTCTCCTATGAGGTGAATATTTTAATCTTTTTTTTACGAACCCAGAAACCAGCACGCAGAGGAGAATGTACTTAGGGACATCAAATCGCAGGGGAGGAAAGAAAACTAACCATCTTGCCCCTTGAGCCAGATGATTTGCTGGGTGCTGACATCCCATCTCTTATTCTAACTCTCACAAGTCCATAAGCTAGCTCCATTTCACAGACGAGAAAACCAAGACCCAGAGAGGCTAAGAAACCTGCCCAAGGTCTCTGTGCCAGCACCGGGATTCACGTCCAGTGCTACTGAACACACACGGAACCTCCCCCTCCTCCCTCTGTTTTGCGCTTGAGGCAGACAGGGAGCCCTTTCACGGTGGCCGGCAGGACAACAGTCTGATGTTTTAATTGTCCACAAGTTTCAGAATCAACCAAAAGTGTGACGTAGCTCTGAAACGCAACACTCTTTGGTAGGAGTGGAACGCCCAAATGGTGAGAGGGAGGAGTAGTCCTGGCTCCGTACTGCTCAGTCCACAGTCCTGGGCATCCGGGGCTGGGAATCACGTTTCGGGGGCATCTATAAACAAGGGTTTCCAAAGACCATGGAAGCAAGAAGGAAACTTCCTTGGGAAACAGCTGAAGGACCTGCGGGCATTCCACTGTGAGGAGAGACATGGAGGGTGATACGAAAACCCCCTTGGGCTACAGGAAGGCTGTCCTGTGGAAATTCGGACAGATGTGTTGTCCCATGTATGGGACAGAAACAAGCACCCCATGGTGATACATGGACGGCCGGGGAGACTGGCCATCCTCTAAGAGTCAGTTTAACGGAGTGTGGGAGCCAGCCTCCAAGACGCCCCCCAGCAATGCCCATCCCCTGGTATTCACACCCCTGTATGTCCCCTCCCACACTAATTCAGGACTGGCCCTGTGTGACCAATAGAATACAGTGGACATGACAGTGTCCACTTCCAAAGCTAGGAAGTAAAAGCACTGTAGCCTCCACTTGGCCTCTTGTATCACCCTCCGTGGTGGGAGCCAGCTGCCATGCCACAAGGCAGCTCCACTGGAGGGCCCGATGGAGAATAACCGAGGGCACTGGCCAACGGTCAACACTGACTTGCTATCCATGTGTGTGAGCCCCCACAGAGCTGGGTCCTCAAGCCCCCGTCAAGCCCTCAGCTGACTGCACTGCAGCTGACACGTGGCTGCAACCCCGTGAGACAGCCCAAGCCAGAACAGCCCAGCCAAGCTTCTCCCAAATTCCTGACCATAGAAACTATGAGACTATTAAATGACTCTTGCTTAAACCGCTAAATTTTGGGGTGATGCGTTACGCGGCCATAATAACCAGATATGGAGGCACGGCACCCCAGGAGGCTATCTCTAGTGTCCTGCTCTAGGACTCAGCCCCAGGCTGAGTGAAGACACAGAAGTGGCACACGGGTCAGCTTTGTAAAAGGTCTGCCGCTGAGAGGAATAGCAAACACACAGAATGATTGAATCAGGACCCAAGGTGGGCAGGAGTGATTACTACAGTAATTCTTAAGAGAGACAAAGATAAAGTCCCACCCTCAGATTAGAATCACCCACTGTCCCAGGACAAACCAAGGGAGACAATGGGCCACAGCGGTACATGTGGAAAGGAGATCTGAGCTGGCTACAGGCTCAGAATGCGTCATGATGAGGTCACCAGAAAAGCACATAAATGTCAGTTGCATTAACAGAAGCATAGTACCCAGACAAAGGAGGTGAGCTCTCCCCTGGCCAGAGCACACTAACAAGAGGACTGTGTTCAGTTCTGACTCATTCTTTACATGGGACAAGGGCAGTCTAGACCTGCTTGAAGAAGATTGATGGGAGTGGATAGAGTCTGTTGATGGAGACAGAAGAGGAAGGATAGAAAGAAGTGAGGATGCCCAGTCCAAAAGGAGAAGAGGAGAAAGGGGAGAGCAACGCACTCACTGATTTCAAATATAGAAAGATCTGTCACATGGAAGGAGGTCTGCGGAACACGGCCAGGAGGTAGGAATGGGCCTGTTTTGTCCCCTGCTGAATCCACAGTGATGGTAACCAGCGTGAGCTTCCGGGAAGTCTGAGAGCTGCCTGAATACTAGACCCATGGGAAAATGAGATGTGGCCACAGAAGGAAGTCAAACAATGCACACATCCAAGGAGAGTCTGCTGTTCCAGTCGGGGTTATGTCGCAGAAAGGATGACACACTATAGAAAGAGTTGTCCTCAAGGCTCTCTTAAGAGCCCTTCCCAGCCCCAAGATTCTTTTGTTCTGTAATTTTGTGATTGAATGAGTAGAACCTGCTGAATGATACCAGCACACTGCTTCTCAAAGTTCAACAGGCATATAAAACACCTGGGGGTGTTATTAAAATGCAGGCTCTGTCAGTAGGTCTGCAGTGGGCCTGAGATTCTGCATTTCGAACAAGCTCCCAGCTAACACTGCTAGTGTGCAGATCACAATTTGAGTTGCAAGAGGTTAGAACTTACCCATGACAGCAGATCGGATCAGGCCGCCAGGCAAAGGCATTAGGCGACTGCAAAGTATTCAAGTAGAGGAGGGAGGACCAGCATAGAAATACCACACCAGGAACAGGACTTCCCACCTTGAATAGGGGAGCATCCATATGCCACCAAGGGCTTTCTCACATTAATGTCCTTTGATTCTCTGAACAAGGTCTTTAAAGTGTCCAAACACTCTCCCACCATCCCCAGTTTTCTGTAGCCTGTAAGGGCAGGCAGTGTGGAGTCCACCAGCCTGCACTCATTCACTGCCTGGGTGGCCTCCGAGTCTCAGTTTCTCAGCATGTAAAATGGGAATGATATCCACCTGCAAGGCCAGTATTCGGCGGTGTCTGGCACGTAACAGGTGCCCATTGTATGTTTCTGAGCCTCATTACAAAACTAGGTGATCAATAAACATCCCTTCTTTTCATTACAAAGATTAACTACCTAATTAATATTTGTCCTTGAATTGAATTGTCCTTCACTAACCCCACATGTCCTGGGATGTATGTCAGATATGACCCCATTTTACAGATGAGGGCACAGTTTGTTCTCAACCTAGAGCTTCAAGCAAATACTAGCATGAGAATCCATGACCCCTCCTGTTGGAATTTTAAGGATTGTTTTTTTCTAGAAGGGTCATTTCCCCTGGTCCAGGCATTGGGATCAGTAACTAATAAGATTTCATCCCATGTCTTTGTCTGAGGGAAGACGCTGTTTCCCCCGAGGGGCTCTGGTCACCACCATGTCCACAGTGCCCAATGTGCTCTGCAACTTAGAGACCTGACCTAGAGAAGCCAACAGACTCAGATAGCAAAGGGGTGAAGCCAAGAACCACCAGCCAACAGAACACCTTAGCCACAGCTCCTGGGGATCCATGGGCGGAGTGGGCACCGCACCCTCCCTGGTCTTCACTGCCTCCTGCAGGGAAGAGACCAGGGGTGGCTCCAGAGAATGTGCAGGGCCAGGGCCAGTCCTGCCCCCAAGCAGAGACAGCCAGTAAAATACCCACACAATTCCAGAGTAGTCACCCTGGGGAAACAGAGGCAATTCAGTGCCTTTTAATCCAGGAAAACTTGGTCTACTCTCTCTTTAATGAGCAGCCCACAAAGATCCTACTTCTTGTTCTTCTTCATTCAGTCCTTGCCCAACGACTGTGTCAAGCGGCTTCCACCACACTGACCAAGGCCACTAAATCTTAGCATCAGCCACCACCAGCTTCCTCCATGAGGACCCTGAAGGCCACCAACCAGCCTGGGTCCCCCAAAAGCACTGCAGTTGAACCAGCAGCTTGTGTAGCTCAGAGAGCACGACCTTGGCTTTGAATTCAGACCCCACCTTGAGTAGGTAACTCCATCACTCTCTGAACCTGTTTTCACATCTTTTGGGAGGAGGGGGAAGTTGTCATATTTACCTCATTGGGCTCTTTGGGAAAATTAAATGAGATATTAATGTATGTTAAGCAACCAGCTCACACAAGGTGTTCAAAAGCTGTTAGTTCTTTTATTCTTTTGCCAGGAAACAAAATTACTAAGGAAGGTGGTCTCTGGAGCTACAGGAGTCCTGGAGAATTCCTGCTGCGTTCGAGATGTCCTCGGTCTCCACCGGATTTTGAAGATCTTCAGCCTTTGGCCCTGAGGCTCGCAGCCCCCAGCACACCTCCCCGCTGGCCCCTAACCTCCTTCTCTCCCCGCCCTCCCCTGCCATCCCCGCGCATCCCATCCCCAAAAACTTTCAGCCAGCTCTTCACGAGGGTCCTTGCAAATCGCGGCCTGGGAGTAGCGGGCCGCTCCCCTCCCTATCGCTCCCGCCGGGCGTCAGCTGCAGACCCCGAGTCGGGCGCCCGGGAGCCCCGTCCGGCCCAGGGGGCTGATCTGCGGGGGCAGCCCTCCGTGGCCCCTCCGACTGCGGAGCTGCGACCGCATTGCAGACGCGGGCCCTTCAGCCCTTCCCGCGCCGCCTTCCTCCCGCGGGCCCCGGAGCTGCCGGGTCCACGCCGCCGCGGGGAGCGCTCCTCTCGCGCCCTGCGCGCCGGGCGTCTTCCCAGCGGCGCGCCGGTGCGGAGCCAGGGTCCAGCGCGTTCCAGACGCCTCTGCCTTCCCCTCCCCCTGTCGGCCGCCCCTCGGGTCCCCCGGGGGTGGGGTTTCCCCTTGCGCCCGCCCCCTCCCGCCCCCTAGCTCTCCTGTGCCCTCCCCTCCCCCGCCCGCCCCTATGTATGTGTCACCGCGCGCCATGCCCGCCCGCCCGCCCGCCCACCTACCTTCCCGCCGCTCCAGAGGGGGCTCGCAGAGCTGAGGACGCGCGCGGCGCTGCTCAAGGTCTCTCTCTCCGCACCCTCGCCGGCCGGTGTCTGACCCGGGTGCCAGGGGGCTCCGGGCACCTTTCAGTGTCCCTTCAGTCGGCCAGCCGGGACTCTGCAACCCAGACGCTGCCGCTGCGGCCACCGCCCGAGGGGACCTGCGGACAGGACGCCGGCAGGAGGAGGGGTGCGCGGCGCTCGCGCAGAGCGACTCTCCGCTGCGCAGCGAGACCCGGGCCTCCCCGCCCCAGGAGACCCCGGCTGCCTCGCCAGGTGTATGGGACTGAAGTTCTTGAAGAAGGGAGTCCAACTCTTCAAGGTAACTGTCTCCTTCCCTCCAGAGAGAGGATCTCCCAGGGCGTCTGGCGAGCCAGGAGCGGTGCTGTGGCTGCCACCCTCTGTGCTAGGGGCTGCGCTGCCTCGGTCTCCCCCCGACGAGGTGTATGCTGGGGGCCCCCGACATCCACCAGCTGCGTCCACAGTGGAGTTGAGCAAACTTTCTGGCTGTTGCAGAGTGAGAGTGAATGGGGCAAAGGAACACGTGAGGAGGGGCCCTTGTTTCCTGGTTCCCCAGGATTAAGGAATAGAGAACAAGGGAGCCTTTACTCCAAACTCCCGCGCATTTTCAAGACCTAGGGTCTGGGGGGAGCCATAGTGGACAGAGTAGCAGCTTGAGAGTCGGGGAAATGTGAGTTCCAATGCCGCTGTGCTACTTTTGAGCTGGAGGAGTTGCTTCACCTTCCTGAGCCTCAGCCTGCCCTATGCCCGTCGGGAAGGAGAAGGCCTCCTTGGCAGAGTCACCGGGGAATAAATGAAATGATGTGGGTAGTGTGTCAGGTATGCAGCAGGTGCCTAAGCAGAGGCTGAGAGAACCCGTTGGTCCCACCTCCTGGGCCAACTCCTAGAGCCACAGGACACCCGAAGGGGGGGGGAAGCTGGGAAGAATTGGCAGAACCTGGGACAGGGCTACTGAGCTGCCGCAAGGGAGACAAGAGCGGTCCTCCAAACATGCCACCAAGAAGGGGCATTTCTTCAGGAAGAGGAAGGGAGGTGAAGACGCATGACTGTGGGCAGTTGTTCCGTATGTGGCTTCTCCTGCAGAAGAAGCCAATGATGGGGGAGCAGGAACCTATTCTAACCCTGGGGTTGAGTGGACGGTTGTCAGTGTCCCCAGAACCCACATTCTAGGCTAGAGCAAACTGTGCAGTTGGGAGTCATCTCCTGTTGGGAGACAGGATCCCACCCAAACTTTTCCGTCATTCTCCTCCTCGCAGTCATGAGCAGGGTTCTGATGGGATTCTTCTAGGGTTTCACCACCAAGGAGCCCAGGTCCCTGCATTTTGATTGATGCATAAATTCCAGTTCTGTGGGGGTGGCTGCCGGGAGGAAAAGGAGGAAGAGGCAAAGCTGAATTGGGTTCCCGTGGTGTTGCAGGTCCCGGCGCTGCTGTGGGTGGGCGTCTGACAGCTTGGGGGAGCCCTGGACCTTGGAAACAAACTCATGTCATTTCATGATGAGAGGAAGTGAGCCCAGAACGGTGCGATGACTTTCTAAATGTTGCACTGTGACTTAGGGGCGGGGGTAGGACTAGAATCTAGGTTTTCTGAGGCCACGGTCAATCGCTAGTCCTGGTTTAAGAGTCCGGAAGTCTGGGCTCTACTCCTTCTCTCTCTTCCTTGCCTTCTGGGTTGCCGAGGAGAAGTGGCAATGAATTACCTGTGCCCCTGGGCAAGGGGGCATAGGAGGCTATCGATGTAAGAGTGTTGGCCTGTCAATCACTGAGCTGGGAAGAGACTGCCCAGGAATGGAAGAGGAATGAGAGAAAACTCGAAGCCTTGTCAGGGTGCGGGTGTCGGGGAGGAGGAGATGTTTCAACCCGAAAGAAAAAATGACGGAACAAAAGATCCCTCCAGTTTAAAAAGTTTTGGATGAAGGACTTATCAAAAAGAAGAAAATATCTGTCAGAGAAGTGCTGGAATTCCTCAAGTTACATCAAGTTGTGTTTAAATTACGTGTATTTCTGTGCAGTTTCTAGTGCAAAACCTGGTACGTTCATTCATTCTCCAGTATCTACTGAGTGCCACTTAGGTGCTGGGCTCTGTTTGATATTATTTTTACTAACTTTAATAGTAAGTAGAGGGGCCGGCCCGGTGGCGCAAGCGGTTAAGTGCGCGCGCTCCGCTGCGGCGGCCCGGGGTTCGCTAGTTCAGATCCTGGGCAGGCACTGACACACCGCTTGTCAAGCCATGCTGTGGCAGCGTCCCATATAAAGTAGAGGAAGATGAGCATGGACGTTAGCCCAGGGCCAGTCTTCCTCAGCAAAAAGAGAGGAGGATTGGCAAATGTTAGCTCAGGGCTGATCTTCCTCACAGGAAAAAAAAAATAGTAAGTAGAAGTTTTTTTTTTCCTAGAATTTTCAGTGCGAATCATACTTACATGGGGATTCTTTCTTTATTATTTGAAAGCCCTCTAGTCAATACAGGAGTAAAGAACTCAGAGAGAAAACAATGGATATATTATTACTTATCTGGGGGGAGTCTGTGTGCTTCAGTGGGGAGGTCCTGCGCTGTCTGGGTGAGCCACACCTGAACCCATGCCCTTCCTTACACCCACGCACACTTCTTGCCCCTGCTTACCACCTCACACACACACCCCAGCCCAGGCAGCCTGCCCACTGCATGGCGAGATGGGGCACTCTCCATCCTCACAGGCCCAGACTGCCTGTCAGACTCCCCCATCAGAGAGGGAGCTCCAAGGGAGAGCTTGCCTCCTGAGATGGTGGGGAAGAGCCGTGAGGGTGGGCAGCCTTCCAGGCAAGGCAGACCTGGGTTCAGATTCCTGCTCGGCCACTTCCCAGCTACATGACTTTGACAAGGTTGCTTAGCCTCCCTGGGACTCAGTTTCCTTTTCTCTGAAAAGGGAAGGAAAACCTCCAGGAGGGGATTTTTGTGAGGACTAAAAGACATAATGTGAGTGCCTTGTCCAGTTCTCAGCAGGTACCACAAACCTTAATTCCTCTCCTCCAATGGTTTCTAGGCCCCCTTGAAGTCACAAACCGTAAGTTCAAGGTAGTACTAACTTAGAATATTCTGTCTTAGTAAAAGACTGTCCCAACTTTGGTGTGGATTTTCTTCATGTTGCCTTCTGGAACCTGGTCCCTCCCACGGCCTTTCTTATTGGGCACTAGGAAGACCTCAGCTGGGCCAGGGGCAGCCCAGGGGCCCCTACTTGGAGTGTCACTTTTAGTCTGCTCCTGCAGAAATGTCTAGTCCAGGGTTTGTCCAACTGCAGGTTGTGAAACCAATTTAGTGGAGGTTTAATGACATAGGAAAGAATAATCTCATAGAGCCTCCTTTGTAGTAAAGGTGAGTACTCTTTCTAGAAACTTTTATTTCTTTTATATGTTTTGCAGTCCTATATATGTGTGTTTATAATATATATGTATATTCACAAATATACACAAACTTGATATTTGTATAATGTATCTCTTACTGCGGGTTGTAGTCGAAAAAGTTTGGAAGACACTGATCCTGATGATGTTTCTGTCTCTGAGAAATTCCTGCCTCTTGGCTCCAGCTGGCAGGTGCTGGGGCATCCTTGCTGCCCCTGTACTAACAGCTGGACTGGATGCTTAAGTGTCTTGGAAGTGGAGGCAGACAGGCCTGCTTGCAAGGGGAGCAGATTGGGGGACAGGGCCAAGGGGCTGCCCTGAGAAAGGGGGTCTGTGGGTGGGAACAGGTCTTGAAACAGGAGCCATCCTCTCCTGCTGTCACCAGGCCGGCCTCTTGGCTCTGCTCTGGGCCCTGATGGGAGCTTCATTCCACCCTCCTTCCTTAAGAAAGCCCTGTTCAGTGGTGCGAAGGAGGGGCTGTCTCTGTGGCATCTCCCCTGGGAGTGGCTGCTGTCCTTTCCCCAGACTCAACAGGACACTCGCATCCCTGCGAGACTACAGAGGGGCCGCTGGGGTGTAGGGCAAGGCTAGGGTTAGAGACCGGGAGTGGGAGTGAGGCAAAGCAAGGACGAGAGAGAAGGGGAATTTGTAGGGAAAACGGTTAAAACAGTTCCTTTTTTCAAAAGTTGAATCCAGGGCAAGAACGGAAATGGTAGAGTTTACTTTTAAAAACTCAGAGCCTCCTTGTAAGCGGCCGAGTGAGTCTGTGTGTGTGTGTGTGTGTGTGTGTGTGTGTGTGTGTGTGTGTGTGTGTGTGCTGGGAGGGCAATCCCTGCGGGCTGGCCTGGGTGTGTGAGAGGCGACTTTTCTCCCTCTCAATGCTCTTACAGTGTATCCTAAAGAAGCTTTTTGTTGAACTCGTGAATAGGTGGATTTGGGGTGTGTGGTGCTGGGCATCACGATTTGGATATTTGGTTACCTTTGAGGTTACACGTTTTTCCTTGTAAGACACACACCCGAAAAAGGAGCCACCTCTCCTGCATAGGGTCGTAGGGTGGGGGGTGCTTGCCTGTCTTTCTGTAATCGATTTGACTTGAGGGGAGAGGGTAAGAAGGAGACTCAAGACTGGGTAGATCTGCAGTGTCTGGCCTGTCCCCCCTCACGCCTGGACTCTGGGCCTCTGAGATGGAACATGGCGGTCCCCAGACCACAGATGTCCAGGGCTTCAGGGCCTGTGATGACCCTCATTTAAGAGATGGCAAAGGGGACCGAGGCCCAGAGAGGGGAAGGTGCGTGCCCCAGGCCAGTCCAGAGCAGGTCAGTGAGGATCTGAACGGGAACCTAGGCCTCCAGGCCCTCATCCTGAAACATACCACGTCCATGGAAACCATTCATTCATTCATTCATTCATTCTTCCTTCTTGCCGCAGCCCTTGCTACTTGCCAGGCACTGCACTTGGTGTGGATGACACAGCAGTGAATAAAACAAGTCACTCTTCCTGCCCTCCAGCTGCCCATAGTCTAACGGGGAAGACGGGCTATAATCAACTTGACCCTGACCCCTCCTTTATATAATACAGTGGTTCTCAACTGGGGAGCTGTTTTGCCCCCCAGGGAACTTTTGGTCATGTCTGGAGATATTTTTTGTTGTCACCGTGGGAGAGGGGTGATACTACTGGCACCAGTGGGTAGAGACCATGGATGCTACTAAACATCTTACAATGCACAGGACCGCACCTTCCCTCTGGCAATAGAGAATTATCCCGTCCGAAATGTTGGTGGTGCCTAGACTGAGAAACCCTGCTCCAGACCTTCATTTAGTCACTGGGCCAGGCCAGGCCCAGCTGTGCAACAGCAGGAAGACGGCGGTGGGAGGGTAAGAAGGGAGGGTTTGGCAAGCAGTGAAGAGCACACAACAAATGGAAAAAA